CAGGGTATATTAAGTTTTTCACGAAGTTTGTAATACCCAGAAGTCGGAGATCCTATAAAATATATACCTAAAGGGTCAGCGTGACCAGCTGGGTCAATTTAGCCATATCCGTCTATCCGTCCGACTGTATATACGCTCTTTTCTCCCTAAGAAGCTGCTCATTGTCGGAACCGCCGATGTCGGACCACTATAGCATATGGCTGCAATACAAATTCAACGATCAAATAAAAGTTCTTGTATGGAAAACTTTGTTCTTTAACGAGATATCTACACGAAATTTGGCATGGAGTATTACCTAAGGCAAAATTATAATATTCAAAGAAATCTTTCAGATCGAATCAGTATAAATATCAAAATCAAGGTCTTATATTGAAAACTTTTTATTTAACAAGATATCCTCTCAAAATTTCACACAACATATCACTCAAGGCAATGCTAAAATATCCAGATACATTTTTCAGATCGGACTACTATTTATATCATATAGCTGTCATACAAACTGAACGATCAAAATCAAGTTCGATGGAAACTTCTTAATTTGTGAAGCGTGTACAGCCGAAGTTAACGTTTTTCTTTATTTTTTAACCTTTGGCTTATCACGTTTTAAGTTGAGAAACATTATTCTACATGTTATTCTTGCACTGCAGTTATTCTTGTTGAGAATTTTATTTTAGTTCAATTGGAAGTTTGTTGACTAACAATAGCAATTTGATTTTTTTTACCTTTGCTTAATCACATATTAAAGTTGTGATTTATTGTTACCTTAAGTTGAAAAAAAATCATTTTGAATTTTCTTTGAAAAAAATGGTATTTCCTAACATTTCTCAAACTCTTAGTATTTCACATTTGAGTTAAAGTTAAGAATTATAATTTTCTCGTTTTGAGCAACATTATTTTTATGTTCTCCTGAATTGGGGAATTTTATGATTTTTCAGTTGAAGTACTGTTAATAAACAACATCTTTTTGCAATTTTTTCTAACTTTTTGTTAATCATGTATGAGTTTAAGTTGAGAATCGTAATTCTCTTATGTTTATATTGTATCTTATTATAAATGTTCTTTTCGTTGTGGATAGACAACTAGACAACTGTTAAGAAAAAATATTGAAACATTTTTTTCTTTATCTAAAGTTTTGTTTCTCTAAGTTTTAGATTATACCATTCTCAAACTTGAGATGAGGATTATAGATTTTTCAAGTTGAGAAATTATCTCAAATTTTCTTGGTGGTGATAATACCATTATTTCCCAGTAACAGTACTGTTAAGAAGCAATGTCTTTCTGAATTGTTTCTCTAACCTTTAGTTAATCCCAGATAAAGTTAACAGTTCTCTCTTTTGGATAAAAACTACTGAGAAGCATTATCGATTGCATTTGCTCCTAACCTTTGGGTCAACACAAGATTTTTGAGTTGAAATACTGTTGTTTCTAAAATTTGGGTTGAAGTTAAAAATTATCTTGAAAAGAATAGCATTTAACTTGAAAAAGTTTGAATTACACTGTAAAATTACTGTTAGAAAACCAAGTTTGGGCTTTGAGAAGTGCTTTAACATGACATCATATGTTAATTCGACCTATAATTTGATTCAAGCCTAAATGTTTATGGGGCTGAAGTGACACACTTCCATGACACACATCGTTAACAATAAATTTTAATACTAGTAAACTAATAATTATTATAGACGCGTATGTACTTAAATCAACGAAGTAAATATGAACATATTTGTACATTATATACACAATGCATAAGTATAACGACTGGCGTGGCAATTGAAGAAAATATATAATCACTGTGTACAAATTCAATTTGCGATGTATTTGTCTATACTTAAATACTTATCTACGAACTGATATGTATGTAGGTATATACATACAAATGTACTGCATTAATATTTGCTGTTGGCTGACTGCTGTGTTAATTAAAGTAGCTAGGACATTATCGACCTTACAAACCACAAACACATACTAAACTATTTAAATACATTTTCTAAACAATTAAAACCACATAACCTAAAAAAATGCTTCTAATACAGCGATTACTCAACTAAATGTTAATGAGTTCTCAATCCTATTCTTCTCCCTTGAGATAATTTTCTGTTTTCTAAAAAGATGTCTGCGAATGCGTTCGTGGATATTTAATGGCTGAATTGATTCGAACCTTTCACTTGCGGCTTTTCTTTATGAAAACCGAGCACCACAAACGATTTTCTTTATCTTCCCACTCCATCGAAAATAAGCGAAAGCGATCAATAAGCTAATTATTAAATATGAGTAAAAACTGCTTATAAATTACACTAAAAAATAACGGCACTTTTGCTTGCGAATTTTTCATAGCTGCATGCATTGTAAGCTTTGTAACATAATTTATGGCAAGCCTAAGTACCATATACGACAATTGGTTAGTCAGTCATAAGAACGTTATAATAAGACAGGGCGATTTATAAACATTAATAGGGATATATGTTTGTTTCTAAACAAAAATATGTATCTATGTATCCTATTACAAAATCTGAGTATATAGTCTACTTGGGATTTCGATTTATTTTCTATTATGTTAAATATGTCACACTTTACTGATTTCAAAAATGTTTTTTGATGTCTACAGAAATATACAATAAATTTGACTTTAATATAAGTATGTATTTCTAATGTTCTCATTAACTTCATGTCAATTGACCTCAATCTATTTGCACACATTCGCCTTTCCTGCTTTCCTTTGTCCATAATCAACACTTCTCTTTCGACATGTGCCCTTCAAAATACATACAGGGTGTGTAGGTAGTGAAACATTCAATAGCTTTACCATTTAGTATCAATCCATTGTTGGAATAGTAATGTTTAAAAAAGGTTTTGAATTTATTTGGTTCAAAAAGACAGCGCTCCATATCACACAAACAACAAACCAAACTATACGGTTTCTCCAACAAAAATGTCTTCAACATTTGATGATGAAAGAGTGCGTAAGCTTTTTTTGGACCTTTGGCGAGCTCATTTGGGTCGACCTTAGTCTATACCGCACAAGATATTCGTAAAAGTAATAAAAAGAGAGATCATATTTTTCTTTGGACAATAAAGGCGACCCTCTTACAGAGCCAAATTAAATATAACAAGAAAAAACTTCAGCTGCACCGAAGCTATAATATCCTCACAGGTGCATTTTTTATAGCATAAAGAGATATAGAAAGATTATATATTTTGATCGGTCAGTTTGAATGGTAGCTATAAGCTATAGTGGTCCGATTTGAACAATATGTTCGGAGATTGTAGCGATGCCTTAGCTAATAATCTATGCTAAATTTTGTAGATATAATAATTGACAAATAAAAGAGCTTTCCGTACAAGGACTTGTGTTTGATTGGTCAGTTGTACGGCAGCTACATACCATATATGCTAAAATTGTCCGAAATCGGCGGTTCCGACAAATAAAAAATTTCTTGGGGAGAAAAGAACGTGTGCAAAATTTTAGATTAATACTGCGGAACTAGTTATGGCTAAATCCAATCGGCGCGTCACTCTGATCATTTTTATATATACTCCGATCGGTCTCCGACGTTTCTTTTTGGGTGTGGCAAACTTAATATACCCTGTGGTATGTTGGTGAATTTGATGGAATTTCTGACTTTTTTTCTACCCTAGATGCCAAGTCCTTTATTGATTGGAGCCTTATGAGTCGTGGAAGATATTCCGTCTCAACCGGCTGAAGAGTGGGAACTCGCAAGGATATTGATTTATATCATCATCCTCCTCGCCTGATCTGTATTCTGCCGATTCCACTTTACCAAGATTTTGAACGTGAGATCTCAAGGTAAAGTGTCCTTTTATGACACCTATCAATTTACGTGATTCCCTTTTTTAGTCTCTCCACGCGTTCACAACAATCTAAAGAAATTTTTTGTCATACCGTGTTGGTGGTGTTCCAAGACCTCAGGTCTAACATCCACCAGGTTTTTCGCGACTTGAATAAGTTAATTTTAAATAGAAATACAAAAATATGACACACCCTGTATATTTAAAATAAACATACTCATAGTCACTATTAGAACGCACAAGCTCTCATATAAGCATAATGTCGACTAGTGCGTTAGAATCTGCTATCCTTTATCGACTTCCAGTAAAAATTTCATGACATTTCATCTATTGGAAGTGAAGTTATTGCGTTTTAAGTGTCAGTATGTTTTTGTCATCGGTGCGAAAATGAGCTTCGAATAAAGAGCTAACATTAAATTCTGTTTTATAATTGGTAAAACTCTTACCGAAACGTTTCAATTGATGAAACAAGTTTATGGCGATGATTGCCTATCCCGTAGCAGAGTGCACGAGTGGTTTCAACGTTTTCAAAGTGATCGTGAGGACACAAATGAGAAATCAGCCAAAACCCAAAAAATCGCTCCTGGAGAAGTTAAAAATGAAGACAATGCTGATTTGTTTTTATGATTCCAAGGGTAATGTTCCACCCGGCCAAAACGTTAATGCGGTATTCTACCTGGGAGTTTTGAAGCGTTTGGTGCGCCGTATTCGACGTGTTCGGCCCTAATATCGCGAAGATGGAAGTTGGCGTTTGTTGCACGATAATGCGCCGTCTCATCGATCGACGCTTGTGGCCGATTATTTGACCAAAAATCACATTTTAACAATCAACCACTCCCCGTATTCACCTGATATGGCACCGTGCGACTTCTAGCTTTTCGGAAAAATGCATTTGCCGATTAAAGGAAAGCGTTATGCAGACGTGGATGCCATTCAAAAGGCTTGCACCGGCATACTGGCGGCCATACCGGGCAACGAGCTAAAACACTCGTTCGACATGCTTTTGGACCGTGCAAAAAGCTGTATTAAAGCAAAAGGAGACTATTTTGAATAAAATTAATTGATTTTGCCGATAAAACCATTTGTTCTGTCTTTTTTTTAAAAGTCCTGTTTACTTTGGAACGCACTTTGTATATATATATTATAAAACTGTTTATTAAGAATATTCGAATTTAATTTCTCATTTAAATTTACAGGTGAAAGCATCGGATGCAAAATATTTGCAAGTCATACAACAAGTAAAGGCGCACGGCTCCTTGCAGTACAAGGTAAAGATACTGCACGAACTGCCAACGGATGAGCAATTATTTATCCGTGTCCATTCACCAACAACTCTACAAGACATTGAGGTAAGCCGACAGTAGTAAATAATGAATTATCACCACAAAGTGTTGGCCAAGCGAGATATGATGCACGTGTGGCAAATCCATATGCATGTCTGGCTGTGTCAGCATTTATATACATATATACATATATACCTATATATATATATGTAGATGTGTGTGTGTGTGTGTGTGACGCTCGTTTAGTTGCATAAAGAGCCGGATTGTCGTCGTTGTCGCTGCTGGTGGCGTTGTTGTTGTTACCGATGATGACAAAGCAAAGAGTGCATTTGCCGGAAGTCCTTACTTAAGGCTCATGTACATTGCACACACACATACACATATATTGTATATGTAATTTGAATAATACATGCATATGTATATATTTGTCAGGCACAATTACAAGCACGTGTGCTGGTGTGTGTGTGGTGTCGGAAACGAGTAAACGTCCGAGTAATTCACACGTGATTACCGATTTGAAAAACGGTTCCTTGCTCTATGACTCCACCAGCAGGCAACCAGCCAATGCATACTTACTTTCAACACACACATACCTACTTACAATGCACATATAGAGAGAGGTTTGTGTCCGAAGTGTCTAAGTAATTTGTGTTACGAGTACTTTGTATTTTGCAAGTGTGAAAATATGGCCGAGAGCGACGCCCGGCTCCAAATTAGGCTTGCCACTGAGAATTGTTTTGCAAAGATTCTGTTGCTATTTATTTGGGTTTTATGTTTCTATTTGCCCATTTAAATGGAAATATGCATTCCCTATTCCGGTTTGGTTTTGCTGCTGCTGCGGCTTGCGACCGGTAAATGCAGGGCGTATTTGCAAGGCAAATTGAATATCAGACACTTCCATTTAATTAACTCAATTATTCCAGGTTTGAAGTACTTTTTTTAATCTTTAAATATTTAATTAAAAGTTTAAAAAATTGGAATTGTTGCAAAAGTTTTACATTTTTTTTTTAGAGATAAATTAAGTTTCAGGCTTCCCTTTATCCAAGAGTATTTTCAAGTAGTTACTACCTCCGTCGTCTTATTCGAATATTCATCCAAACAATTAGATCTAGTACTTTCTGTTTGTTCAATTTTGCATAATCATCACCTAACATTTGGGCGGAGTTGTCAAAACTTTCCGCTGTAAACTGGTTATGTTTGGGCACTCGTCCATTCAAATGGCGAAGTCTCTTCCACATCAAAGTTTGCATTCAGACACTTTTTTTTTCTAAAGTTCGGCTTTTGTAAGACTGAGGTTGAGACATCTCGAACATCTCGAAAGTTACACTATCCGCAAATCAAGAGAGATAGCCGAAACTGAAATTAGCCGCCTCAACAAATTTGTGATAGGCTCTAAACGTTTAATCGATCTAAGAGGACCTTTATGATCAATTCATTGGAGCTTAAGGTATCACAACGGACCGGCGTTATAAGCTGTTCAAGTGAACTATTGTACTACTTTTGTAGCACAAGTTATCATTCTACAACTATATAGTTGCTCTGCCAGAACTCTAATATAAGATCTATGATATCCCTCTTTCAACGAGTCAATAGCTACAGAATTTTTATGATCTCTCACATCACTGATATTTTTAAATTTTTTAACGTACAGTCCACATCTCTGAGCTATAGAGATCTTAAGTTGGGAGCATTACTATAATGGATTGAAAAGCTTTTGTCATAACTTTCATTTCGGCGTCCAAGTAATAAAGTTTATTCATTATTATTATTCATTTCGATGCAAGCGATAAAAATAATAGCATGTGAATCCCATAAAATACTTGCTAAGACCTGGCCAGCCGACTCTTGTGTTTTCGGGCGACTTTCATCGGCAACAACCATTTTTAACCACTACTGATCTGACTAAAGTATATAATATTGTATGTATTATATTGAATCAGGCCGAAGACTTTTTAACCCATTTCGGATAGAACCTTACCTATAATATGTTACAATATTCTATAAATGTAGCTATGCTTGTTTAACTCTTCTGTGTTTCAAATTAGTAAACTAATTTTTAAGTGCGAAATTTTCCTTAGATCATAAAACTTTAAAGAGTCTTGGTATATCAGATCAAGCTTTGCGTCAAAACATCATCTCATTTAGTATTGTAAAAGAAATTTAATAATTCTTTCGATCACAATTGTTTATATTATAGTACTCTGAACGGGGAAGAAATCTTCCTTGCCACGAACTCAATAAAACTCTTCAACTTCAATTTTGAAGTAGAACGATTTCCGTAGACTCTTTATCAACTAAATATAAAATATTAAATCTCTTGCCTGTAAATATCGCTACTGCGATTTAAAGTTGGGTTGTAACCAGGCAATTATCCCAAAACATTTCTAATTAGACCAGTCTTAGATTGGTATGGACTTGAATTAAAAATTATGCTGACAACATGCCTTGGCGAAGTTTGTTTACCACGAAAACAAAATTCGTTTCTGTCGCAATCAATCCCTATATTTGATTTGGTTTCATTGCAAATATTTTCTATTCGCCTATGTCGCTAAATGTTACACAGTTCTCTCATTTTCGGTTACTCGGAAAAGTCCTCTACAACTTACAACAACAACAAAAATACTTACTTATGTCTGAATATATTAATATCCATTTATATTTATTGAGTGTGTTCAGTTTTATTTTGAAAATTTTTACTTCCTATATTAAACCCATACACATATGGCTATAATTTTCATTTATGCCACATTTTCAATAAATCTGTGAAAATGTTCTCGAAGTTTGTTTGGTGGATGTGTGTGCCCCACATTATCATCACTCAATAACTTTACGTGGCCTTAATTTGCATTCATTGCAGTAATTACTCAGCGCTGACTGCTGCAGTTGTTAACAGAGTCGCGTAAAAAACTTTCTAGAATTAATAAGTATATACATATATACAGCTAGTAGATTTGTAAATATGCTATAGGAAAGTCCATTGTTTTTGCAATTATGTTTGTTTTTTAAATTTTGATGAGGATTTAAAAACTTATCGAAAACAGAGTTTGGTGGTCGTGAAGTAAGTCTAATTTGGCTTGCATATTACATGCAAGATTTCCAAAGCGAATTGTCAAACTTATGAAGAGTGGACCGAGTTTTATAGTTTAAAAACAATAATAACCAGTCGAACAATTTTTTTGATAGGCTCTATAAGTGTCTAAACAATTCATACTTGAAATATGGGTTGCAAAGGTCTGTATATGGAGAATGTGTTTTAAACTAGAACCTCAACGAAATAAGATAAATCTGATCAAAGTGCTTCATACTATCTCGAACGTAATAATGGAAAGTGTTCCTGTGCTCAATCACCAGCCTGTTTAGGTACACAGTTCTTACAAGATGTTTAGGTGTAAAGAATATATATTATATTATAAAATTTTGTTTGCAGACTGTGGTATGCCTCAGAACTGTTTGCAGTCACTGACATATGATTAAATTTTCGTCTTATATCCACATCAATATTAACTGTTTTAGTGTAGTTTACGGGTAATTTTAATTACCTGAGTATCTAGATATCTGTGTGTATAATTCGTTCCCATGAATAAAATCCGAATAATATGAAAATACGATTATTATTCGATAGTTTATTTAACCGTTGTCCGCTTATTAGATTTTGTTTATCGGATATTGCAGTATTCATCTGATGCGAATAAATTAAAAATGTAAAAAAATTCGGATATCCGGTTATTGAAATGGTTATACAAATTTGTCCATATAAAACAAAATTCGGTTACTCGGATATATACATATTAGGATGGAGCAAAAAAAAAATTTTTTTTGTTTAGCCTGAGCGTCAAATTTGTAGATTATAAAAAAAGAAATTTTTTGGAAAAACATTTTTTTTTAAACATCACTTTTAAAGTAAAGTTTCGAGTTAAAATTTGTATATCGTAAAAAAAATTTTGATAAGTGTTCTAGAAGCTGTGGAGAGTCCCCTTTCTGGCCAAATAAAAGTTATCAACTTAAAAAAACGACAACATGCTTTCCTTAAGCGTTAAAATAAATTTTGAGTCAAAAACCGTCAAATTCGGTACTTTTTATACAAATGTGAAGAGTTTAAACCAAAACAATTTTTTTTGTCCGCCTCTGTTTGTTAAAAAAATGTATTTTTCCAAAATTTTTTTTTTTTATAATCTACCAAATCTTTTTTTTGCTCCATCATAATATTTATATACATATATTATATTTGCATACCCGAGTAACCGAATTTTTTTTTATATGGACAAATTTGTAATGTGTATATCCGGTTTTTTGATTTCATTTGTATTTTTATATCCGGGTAACCGGGTTATATATATTTATCGGGTTAGTCGAATATTCATATTATCTGGATAAACTTCTCTACTATTAAGTAAAATGGTATTTTACACATCAAAAATAATTTTGTAAATATAATTTTTTGGTAAAATAATTAACTTGCTTTTGTGCCACCCTGTATAACTTTCCACATTAAAACCCGCTATTTGCTTTTGTGCGAATATAATTATTTAATGTGTACATTAGTACATTGCATTACACTTCCAGAAGTATTAAACGCAGCGCTATGAATATCTGCGTGTGTGTGTGTTGCACCCGCGGTCCTGCTCCCACCGCCAACATATGGTGCATGTACTCGTACATATTAAATTTTTGGCCCAATATAATTTATTGCTGCTCATCTGTAGCAATGACAACAAGCGAGTAAGTAAACGAGCAAGCTGCAGCATTGCTATGCAACTATTATTTCTGCACTGCTGATTGTTGCTGCTGCTGCTGTCGTTGCTATTTGCTGCACACATACATATGTCCTCGTTTGGTGCTAGCCACATCGCCAAAACGCACTCACACCACACTAATAAATTGAAAATATGGTTGGAAATTTTACGAGCATCATGTGAATGGCAACAACAATAACAACAACAAACAACGACAACAACATCAGTAGTAGTGGCCAACCAACCGCAAACATAACCACAAAATTCTAAGCATGTTGCAGCAGCAACAAAATTCTACAACTTAATATAACAACTCGACGAATAGCAAGCGAG